CTATCCGACAATCTTCTCATCACCCTCTTCTTGTCATTTCATCTTCGATTTCTACCCGAACCCACTTTCGGTATCGACTCGGGCATTAATTCTTACCAGAACGAAATTCGCCGGTCATCCGATAATGATTCTTGACAGTCGTACCGATAATGAAGAATTCCCTGACTAGGTTGATAGTCAGTCGATCATTTGATATTATTGGCAGGAGAGATAGAAGTGATGGGGGGAATGAAAAAAAAAATTGGGATCAGATATTTCTTGAGATTATTCGTTAATTGATATATATCATGATATTCTTAGGAATGACAAGACTCGGAAAGTAATGGAACTGACTTATGTTTATGATTATAATTATTAAAAATTGTTTAAATTTTTTTATAATTTATCAGTTTCTCAGTATTTTCATGCCTTGATTGATGCTCTTGTTTCAGAATGCACGTTTCCGGTGCGCTGGGAGGGTAGCTGGTTCCAGAGTGGCTTCCATCAGTCCATCCGCATCTCCAGAAGCAATCTCTCCACTAAGGGAAAATGTCTGCACAACGAAGGTGACAAGTACCTGGTGGTCGATGAAGAGTGAGTATTCATCATCGTCAAGGTATCTGTTAACAATTAGTCCTAGGATGGTAAAGTGTCGTCGCCGGTGACGATGGCTATATTTATCTTCAGAAAAAAAAATGATTTTCCCTTATCGTTCTAGGGTTAAATAATTGAAACGTAGATATAAGTAACCATAAAATTACGTGAGAATATTCCAAAAGTATAATTGTGAAATTCACTTCGGGTTATGAATAATACCTAATCCAATTGCCATTTACGGATAGGCCTTCAGAACTACCTATCGTGTTACCAACTCCTGACAGCTTCGCTATCCCAGAAGTTGTGTAATAGGCAGACAGACAGACAGAAAGTCAGAAAGTCAGACATAACTTGAAATAGGCAAGTAGCACAGAGCTTAAGGGGTTACCCTACTGTGAATGCACAAAAGTTGGGTTAATTTTTAAACTTGATTACTCGAAAATCATACATGGAAATTAATTTATATTTATATAATTTATATAGTATTGTCTATACCCTGATATCAATACGCTCACCAATTCAACTAAAACTGTCTGCAGCCATACTTCTCTGTTCATTTGACATCTGTCAGTATTTCTCATTTTCAACTCCAACTGTCAGAAACAGCAAATTCACACAAATTACAGGACTAATCAACATAGCAGCAAACCGAAAACCGTCACTCGAGACTTTTCGATAATTTCCTTTCACTGTTAAAGGATTTAAAAAGAAAAACGTCAAATCAGAATCTGCAAGTTGATTTAGGTATTTGTACAAATTATTTAGGTTATACTCCAATCATGAAGCTATCCAAGAAAATAACCTCAAAAGCTAAAATTCCAAAAGCTTTCATATTTTCAATTCAACCTGACAAGAAACTCCAAGCGATTCCCTCAGGAGTGATTAAAAACGGAAATCAAGCGTTGGATGTGCATGCACCCTGTACTTCATCTTCGGCTCTTCCCCTGGAGCAAGACCCAGTTCATTTCTGTCTTTATGACCGTCTGCCTATGCGCGTCTATAATAACAAGTGACTACTTGACTGACTCGGTACATGTAATTCTCATATATTTACTGACCCATTTCCTCCTTACGAATGCCCACATTTAATTGCAAGAAGCCATCTTTCTTTTCACTGAATATAATCAACGCGATTAATCGTCAGATTGGTTGTAACCACGTACCGTTCTGATTCTTGACTTGTTAGTCTTGATTGGTTCTATGGTTTGTGGTTGTATCTAACATAGTATCTAACGTATACAGTGGGGAGCCGAAATGCTCTTCGAAAATGCTATTGTAGATTAATGCTATTACGCTGTAAAGAGGCAGAGCCCATTGCCGCTGCCTGGTGTACAAGAACGAGTTAGAAATTAAGGACGAGACGTAACAGAGAGATTATTCAGCTACAGCGTCCGGACGGCTAGCGTCTTGGCCAATGGCAAGGTTCACTTTCCGCGATTAAACGGCTCTCTCCTTTCTGTTTCAGGAAGTCCTGCTATCGCTGCGTCGTCATTCACGAAAAGCACTCCAACGTTCTGCAGTACAAAGAGAGTAAGTTTTCTCCTTCTCGGCTTTGCCCGCCAGCGCCAATATCGATTCTCTCCCGGGCGAGTTGCACGGTGACTCTCTGAGTGTCGACGTCTTTCATGTGCAACGACGACGTCACTGCCGGTCTTCCCTTGTAAGAGGTTGGATCATTAATTACGATCCCGATCGTTAATTAAAAACCCGCTCGTTAAATCGTCAGCTACCCTCTTCACTGAAGCTAAAATTATTCCACTTGAAATTTAATAACGTTCACGTGAACATGGTCGATGCAGTTCGTATGCATCATTTAGGACGTGGTAGCAGATGAATTTCTGCCGGGTCATCCGGCAGGGTTAAATCCTACAAGAACGTACACGAGGAGATCAGACTGTAATAGGTTTTTTCAGATGACACTAGAGTCTTGCAATAGAAATATAATCATTGGAGGATAAGTACCTGTGGTTCGATGGGAATCATCCAGGATCAAATATCGCGAGGACGTGGATCAAGAGATCCTATGACTGATCATGCTTGAAAGTGAAGAGCCTCCGAGGAAAATAAGGCTTAAGAGGGAAGCGGACAAACAGGTCGACCACGGTTACTGTACCGTGTCATCGGGAAGGCTGGCTCAGAGTCAGCAGAGTGCACGGGACTCAAGACTCCAGCCTGAAGACTCAAGACTCTGGAGAGGCTGGACCCGCCCTCTCGAGGGCCGTTTCGCATTTTTCGACGATTTGTCAAAGTCGCCACTTTTTATCGTATTTTAATCTGCATAGTGTGATAGACCAAGCTAGCCGCATCGTGTTGCCAAGCGTCGCGACGTCAAAACCTGCACTAGACTTACCAGCAGGATCCTCCCTATAGATTCTTCATCCTACAAAGAAACGCAGGACGTGATACGGCGCATCAAATCTTAGAAGGATTCTACGTTTTTTTCTTTTCTTTCTTTGCTACCCTTTAATAGTTTCGAAATTACAACAGTTTTTTGAGGGCGCACGCCCATCAAACCTGCGAGGTTGTTACCTGGAGCCTAATGGAGGCTAACTAAAATAGAACATTTGTATTGCTGACTAATGTACACAAAAGTACAGTAATATATTTTATATCTGTGTGTTTTCCCGAAGTTTGCCACGTTGGTAACCTGAAACTTTATCAATCCACGTTTACGTCGTGACGATGCTGCCAAACTATACAAGTTAGGGCATACTTTATTCCTGAAAATTATTACCCCAATTCACTGAAACAGTCAACTAAACCTAATAACGTAGAAAACGGCACCTACTTTTTTTACCCCGCAACTAAAACTGGCTCTTATTATTATTATTTTTTTATTTCAGCCTACTGTCACGGCCGGAATTCACTCTCCTCATTGTGCTCATACATAACGGGTGACGCGTTACTTTACTCCATGTTTCGCGAGGAGGCACCAGCCGTCCCCTGTCCGTTTTTGGGTCCCATGACGTTCTCATACAACAGAGGTCACGGCACGTGTTCCAGTCCTCAGAGCAACGTTGACACTTGCACCGACGACAGCAGATTGTTATTCAGGTACCAGGCCTGTCCTGACGTCCCAGCATCTGAAAGTGCAGGTATGTATTTTAAGATGTATTTCTTAAATCCTGGGCTATCTCCAAATCACCCCCCAACTTTTTTCTCAGCGTCGATCTCCTTCCAGTATATGTCTTCCTCTTGTCCTGGAATGTCAGCGAGGAGCAGAATAAGTTTGTTCCCCCCCCCCCCCCC